CTTCATCTTTCTTCTTATAAATGTCTTTCATTGCTGACTACACTTTCACTTCTATCTGAGCTACTGACTTTATCTTATCTTCAGTAACTGCTTCTGCATCTGTATCTCTGTCAGAGAACTCACATGTATTTAAAGACTATGACTTCTTCAGCTCAGTGAATGATGTAATAAACTTTTATTTAAATCTCTCTGCAGTTACATCTGAATCTTTTAAGCTTTCATTCTCAGATTTCTTCACTAACTCATTCACAGCTTTCTGATCATATAATCTAGTCAATCAATGACAAGATACAATTATCTTTTTCTTATCACTTCTTGAAACTATCTTAGATATTAAAGAATAAGATTCTGACTCTTCAATTTCATTTATCTTCTCTGCAGTCTTAAGAAGAGCATTATACTCTTTCTAACTCAATGACTGAAATAATTTTTTCAATGCTCTTCTTGTGTCATCTCTGTTAAGATAATCAATCTAATCAATCACTTCTCTTATATCTGATATTCTGAATATCTTTCTTGAACTCATTGCTGCAAGTTCTCTAGATTTCAATGAAAATTTTTTATAATAATGAGAATAATGGTAAAAAGATAATAAGAAAGAGAAAAGAAAAATAAGAAGAGAGAGATGACTGATCATATTATATACTTATAGATTATTCACTCACATTACTTTCAGTCTTTTAACAGAAGATCTGTCTCTTTATTATTCTCAATCTTCTTATTCTCTTTCATCTGCATTCACTCTGAATTTTACAGTTCTTCATCTTTTATTTATTTATTCATTCTTATGACTTCTATTGTCTTGTTATCTCAGACTCTTTATCTCATTCATAGTCATTGTTTTATTATCATCTTATTGTACTTATATGATATCTGTGAAAGATAAAGATTCTCTATAATATCTATCATCTTATTATCTCAGACTCTTTATTATTATGTCATTATCATCTCATTGTTCTAACTTCTTTCTTTACCTGCCTCTCATACAAGGAGAATATTAACTCACATCTGAAAAATGCCTAACTCATTTCTTATTAGATTTAGCTTTTTTTTCTGTCATCTTATTTTCAGACATCTGCCTCTTTTCAGACAGAGAGACTGTGACATTCACTCTTACTACTTCTCAGAGCTTTCACTTCTTTCTTTCTAAGACTTTCATCTCTTTCTTTCTGAGACTTCTGTCTCTTTCTTTCTTAGACTTCTGTTTCTTTCTGAGACTTTCATCTCTTTCTTTCTGAGACTTCTGTCTCTTTCTTTCTGAGGCTTCCGCTTCTTTCTTCTGTAAAAGTCAATTACAATAAATAAACAAGCATGTATATATATATATATAGAGGCGTCCGCTCATCTTCATCTTGAAGAATAGAACAAGATTTACCTTTTTACATGTATGATACGTGATCAGCATACACTACAGATGATGTATACTGCAGATATATACTGATTATTTATTAGATAATATTAAGATAATAACTTATTACAGCTGTATTACTCTCACTATAAGAGATATATAGTTGATAATAAATATTATAAAGACTGTGAAGAGTAAGTATTTTAAGAGTACTGTTACTCTGCAATCTTGATTTTTTTTATTTTTATTTTTTATTTTTTTATTTTTCTTTTATTTTGTTTTTTCTTTCTCTTTTTTTTTATTATGATTTTTTCTTGTTTTTATTTTATTTTTTATTTTTTATTTTTTTTTATATTTTATATTTTTTTTATAATTAAAACTATATGAATGATAATCTGTATTCAGAAAAGTAATAATATTTGATAATACTCTCTATTGAATTTTCAACAAATGAGTACTATGTTATGATATTATATAAGTAAGAAATGATTTTATAATCTTATTTAATATTATTCTTAATAATAAGATCAGAATGAAAATATAACTAAGAAGTTAAATATATTCTTTATCTAAATCTAGATTTTTATTTAAAAAGTAAATCTGAAATCTATAATATTTAAAATAACATGATTTGAGATCAATGTAATGAATATAAATTATAATTAGAAGTAATACTTTTAGATAATATAATAACTATAAAGTTTAATTCTGATCTCAGACACAGTTACATAATCAGTCTAGTCTAGAGTTAGAAGTTATATTAATATCACAGTCAGAAGAGTCAGAGCTAGAGTCAGAGTTAGAGTCAGTACTAGAGTCAGAGTCAGAACTTATAAGATGAAAAAGATGTTTTAGACTATATAAGCAGAATATTATTATGAAGAAATTTCAGAGAGAAAAGAAGTAAGAATAAGAAATATTAAAGTAAGAAGTTAGAGATCAATTGACATAATATAAGAGATCTTTGAAGAGAAAGAGTCAATAAAATATAGACAAGATTTGTATGTAATATTCACATCAGCTAGCAGGTACTTATAGACTGACCGTGTAACTGTGTCTGAAATCAGAATTAGAATATTTAATGATTTTATTATCAAATCAACTGATTCTATTACACTGGTTTAACATTAGATAGTAGTCTTATACTGTCTCAGTGAGACTTACTGTCTACTCTTATCATATTTTTCAAATAAGATTGTGATTTCTACTTCTCAATTTAAATTATTTTTATTGCTTTAAATGACTTTAAATCTTATTTGAGCATTATTAAAAAGTATTACTTTTTAAAAAATTAAAAATAGTCTAAAAAAAACCTTAAAATGTCTAAAAATAGTAACTTTATACTAAGAATGCGACTAAATGAGACTAAATATGTAGCGTACGCCGCTATGTAGAGTCAGATATAAGGGTAAAAACTTGTCTTATTCTCTAAAAGATGAGAGATGAGCGTACGCCCTTACATATACAGTGATTGTTTTATAGAGATTAACTCTTGTAGAAGAAGCAATCATCTATGAAGACAAGAACAGAGGCTCTGTAGAGAAGAAGCAGATGCTCTCATAGCAATCACATATGAAGAAAAGAATGAAGACTCTGTAGAGAAGAAGTGAAAGCTCTCATAGAAGAAGTGATTGTATATGAAGAGAAGAGCAGAGAAAGAAGATAGAAGCAGAAGCTTCAGAAAACAGCAAGAAATAAAGCAGAAGCTAGAGCTGAATAGAGAATTGACTTAAATAGAGAGTGAAAGCACATCACAGTCTCTCTATTCAAAAGAATGCATTCATGAAGAAGAAAAAATGACATTGAAAAAAGATGGCAGATATCACAGGCACTAGACTGAAAGAGGCAGATATTGTTCAGAAGTACTAGTCTGTTTATATATACTGCAGATATTATAGAAAAGAGAAGACTAGATAATAGAATCACTTATTTATACAAAGAGTGATCAGATGTAAGAATTGTTTATCTCTACAAAGAATAAAAGATGTAAGAATGACTTGAAAAGAAATAATAAGAAAGAGATAGAAGTTCTTTAATCTAAAAATAGCTGTAAGAAAAGAAAGAGATTGTAAAGAAATTATAAGAAGCTTGAATGAGAAAGAGTTCTTTAATGAGATAGATGAGAGTGAAAGTTTCATTGTAATGAGAGAAAGATTCTGTGAGTGATAGAGATTAGTGTAGATGAATAATCACATTAATATATATATTATAATTACTTTCTTCTTATTCTTCTCTTATTTCTCACACATCTTGCTAAAATTTAACATAGTGAAATTAGTGAAAATCACAACATACAGAAGATTAGACCACAGAAATAATAAGTCTCAAGAAGAAGTCAACAGCTATGAAGACAGATGCAGTAAGCATAGTGAAAAAGACCTTAGTCTTAGAGAAATTATTTCAGTTGTTAAGTCAGAAGAAGTGTGATGCCCTTCTTCATATAAGTGATAGAGAAGAGAAGACAGATAAGAAGACTGATGAAGAGAAGACAGATGAGAATGAGATGAAAGAAAATAATGAAGATAAAGAGTTAGAATTCTGAACTGAAAATGAGTCAGAAATCTTCAATTCTGATAACTTCAGAGATAAGCTTCTGATACTATCAACTTATCTTTTCACATACAAAGTGATCAAAGATCAAGATAAGAGAAAGACAGTGATGTCTTATTATCACTTAACTAGGCTGCATGATACTGCTGTAGAAGAGTCAACAGATGAATCACATGACAGAAGCTTGAAGAGCTGAGAAGAATCTAAGACTGTGATACAAAAGCTTATAACACTGTTTACTCATTTAAAAAAGTTGTGACCATTCACACACTGATTTTCAGAAGAAGATGTCAAGATGAATGAGAGAGAAGAGAGTCAGAAGACTGCTGCAGAAGCAGTCAGTGATAAAGAACTGTAAGTAGAACTGAAAGTAGAAGCTGAACAGACAGATACAGATGCTGAAGAACTGTTATTAATGAAAGAGAATAAGAAGTGCTGAAGAGCTAGTTGAAAACAGCATGAAACTCTCAGTGATAATGTTTTGAAGAAGTTGAGATAGAAGAAGAACATCAAGAGTGACCAGGTGTCTTGACTGTATGACATAGCATATATGAGACACCTGTATTATAATAACAAGATCAAGTTGCACTTCTAGCAGAATGACAAGCTCACTCACTCAAGCATGTCAATCATGCAGGACCCGACTGTGAAGAGGCTTACAGATGTTATCTCAATCATTGAAAGACTGACAGAACATAGTGAGAAGATGTTATTTGTCAATTATGAATTTTTCATTTTACTCAATCAGTGATTGATTAAAGATTTAAGATAGTTATCTGTCAAGTGAAAGTTACACTGATAAATGAATAATGATGAGCTAATCACTTCACAGACTGTTAATTCTAAGAATTTCACTAATTAGAACATCATTATTCTGCAGACTCATAGAGAAATAGCTTCTATATTATATCAGTCTTGCACAAAGAGTCAGGAATGAGTTAAGAAATGTGTAGTTATCTCTGCAGATAATAAACAGACACAGTAAGAGTATGACACTTGTATTAACTATCAGTGAGAAAATAAGAGATCTCACTGCTCTTTAAATCACTCTAGCTGATATGAACTCTGATGAAATGTGAATAACTTACTGTTTAAAGAAAGTATGTCTGGATTTGAAAAGACTGCAGCTGAGAAGACAGATGTTAATGACATTATTAAGATCAGTGATACAGAGAAGAAGGACAATTTGACTATAGTTTCAATGAAGAAAATGTCTATGTCTTTCAAGCATAAGATATTGAGTTTGATTGCACTGAAACTCTCAAAACACATTCAAATCAGTGAGTGAGACATCTCAACATCTGTGAAGACAGATAATGAGATGAAGATAAGCTATTTAATCTCTGCTAAGATGATCAATGAGGCTAAGATGAGCAGTGTGTAATGATTATTGATTCTGTCTTCTGAAGGCCGCATGATCAATTGTAGAGTTCAAGATTTAAAGATGCTGAGACAGCTGTCTAATCTTGACAAGTATAATCTAGATACTATTCAGACTGTATGAAAGAAACTGAACAAGATAGCTGAGTTCATCAATGTGGTTTCAGCTGCAGAGAATATCATGACTAATAATTGTTTCTTTAAGTTGCTCAGCAGAGTGTGTTTCAGTGATCTTATAAATGAGAGATTATCAGTGAATGTTATATTCTGAGATGCACATCTCACTGAGCAGGAGATCAAGCTGTAAGAAGAGCTTGAAGATAATTGATGACAAGAGACAGAATGAAATGATGAAAAGAATAGAAGATGATGATTTTCTTATTTTCTTTATCTTCTCATTTAATAGCTAAAATTAGATTGTAATACATTTTCTTTCTTTATTTCACTCTCTCTCTATTTTACTTTTCTTTCTATTATTTACTTGGCTGACTGTGAGACTTCTTGATCATGAAGATCTTGATCAGGTGCAGAGTATCTTGTATAATAACTTTAAGAAGCTCTCAGATCAGATCTTCATATCTCTTTCACTTAATCTGAAGATAAGTCTTACTGTTCTCTGTGCACTTTCTTATAATATTTTCAACTTCAAATTGTGACTGATCATTAATAAGTACTGATTCTGATAATAAGTACTTTATATTTACTTCTGTTAACACAGTCTTTTTCAGATAAATGATGAAGATTACTAAGTATATTCATCAACTGACTGACAGTTTCAATTGAAATACTGCATCTGATATCTTCTGAAGAATATGAAATGAGTCTACTTATAAAAGTAATAGCTTAAATATCTCTTTTAACATGTAGCTCTTTTGAGCTTTTTAAGTGAGATTCAAGAAGACTTAATCATCAATCTGAATAGTTGATTAGAAATGAGATCAGTTAAAGAACTCAGTCATTCTTGCTTTTATCAGAGTATATGAGTCAAGAACATCTTGCTACACTGCATCTCACACAGTGATGAACTCAGCTATATCTAGCAGAGCTTTCTCATTATTCAATGACAGTTATCTAGGCTTTACACTCATGAGCAATTTGAAGAGAGAGATTATTACTGACTATATAGTTACTGAGTTCAACACTCTTTTCACTTATTCAAGCAGAGCAGTTCAACTTGCTTTATATTCATCTATAAGAAGTGTTCACAATGTAACTTCAACTGTGAGATTGATCTGCTTACTTTGATTATTTGAGTAAGAATTATAGACAGTTGTCATTTATATCTTAATTCTCATAAGTTGAAGAACTGACTTTCAAAATTGTAATATAAATTTAAGATCTCTATTCAAAATAATTATCAGTGAGAACTATCAGCAGTGAATCATCTTCTTATAGAAGTCTTTCATCTATTATAAAGTATTTCATCATTTCTGTTTCATAATTAGAATTACTGCTTTTAAAAATTTGTCTGTAACTGTTATTATAGTGTTATAATTGTCACTCACAGATAATTCTGTAATAAAATCAATCAAAAGAACTTCAAATACCTGTTTTGAGAGTAAGATGAGATGTAATTTGTTCTCTGATGAGTGATTCAGTAGTTTGACTAGTTGATAATTGAGACATTGTGATAGATAGTTCAGAATTCTCTTTCAGACATGAAAAAGAAAGAAGAACTGATAAATAAGATTTTTCATTCAACAAAGGCCAGGGTGATCTGTCATATTATGACACATACAGATGACATCTCACATCAGTGATTTAAGAATACAGAGATATGATTCTTCAAAGAATAATAGCCTGTTTCACACTGTAAATGACTGATATCACTCTTTCTGACTGATCTTGTAAAAGATCTTTTTCAATGTCAGATCACAGAGAATATCTCAGCATAGTTACTTTTTGAATTTGTCAGCAAGCTCTATCACTGTAGTTGAAATCATATATATTTTCACTGAAGATATGTTAGTCATCAATTCATCTGCCTGATTGATAATGATTTAACAGATTTTTTTCTACTCTTCAGAGAAAATCTCTTCTGAATTATTATCTAGATAACACAATCTGAATAGAGTGTCAGTATTAGTATGTACAGTATTCTTACAATAGCAGATTATCACCTGTGAGAGATATAAGCTTAGAACTAAGACTTAATTCATCAGTCAGTTGCTACAATAATCTATTACTGATAACTGAAAAGTAGATATAAGAGCAACATGATTCATAATAACTGTAAACTCATCATCTAAATACTGCAGTAATTTCCACAGAGCTCATATAAGTTTAAGATACTTCAATTCAGTTACTCAGTAGCACTTTTCAGCTGCACTTAATCAGTAAGAGAGAAATAGAACAGATCTTTCAATGTTATTCATTTTAACTTGATATAGAGCTACTCTGATATCTCTTTACTTACTAACATTCACATACAATATGAAGGGACATTTAAAGTCAGAATATGTCTGAATGAGAGTGTTTATCAAGACTTGCTTTATCATGTTAAACAAATATCTGACTTCTGTGAGCAGAGTGTGAAACTGCAGTAAGTTCTCAAATCTTATTAACTGTCACGCTCCCGGCCGCGCCAAGGCCCTGTTGCGGTTCCACACGGCTCATCGCTTTCATGCGGATGATTTCATTCTGTCTGAACTGGTTTCCAACCACTCTATGACATCATTCGGATATATCATAGGAAGATCCAATTGATGAATATGAGAACCCCGCTTCTATACAAGGTCAGCAGATTACTCTTTCTTGATAATGAGATGCTGCTGAGATATCACTCTGACTATTCTCACTTATGAAATGAGAGAAGAGTATTCACTCATTATCTATATAGAATAGCTAGATGCTGGCTTCTTATCAAAGAAGTCAGTGATTCATTTTACTCTGACTGAAATATACACAAGAGTTACTGCATATCTTATACAAATCTTCTTAGTATACTAAGTATCATATCTGTGATATTCTTGTAATAACCCTGTAGTCTACAAGCTCACTATTCAAGCAAGATAGTCAAGCTCACTTATACAGCTTCTTAAACAACTATCTCTACATATCACTGCTGACTAGTTATCACTTCAGTTCTATATATTACAATTCAAATCACTCAACCTGATTATACATTTGAATCAGTTAAGCTCTAACAGACTGATATGATCTCATGCACCTACACTGAGACTGACTCAATCTCACTCTCTGAAGGAAATACTACATCATTCTCTAGAGTGTGTACACCTCTATCTCAGCAGGAATCTGAGATTCCTGAACCTGCTGTGCATTTTGACATGGGCTCTTTAATCACTCTGCTACCACCGCAGCCCCTACACACCTACATCTATCATGAAGATAGAGAGATTAAGATCAGAGATTCACTGAGATATAAGAAAAATATCTTGTCTGAATTTCACAGCTTTATCTGTATTCTTGAACAGAAATTTCATCTTAACTTAAGCCAGTATAATACTCACAAGATATGAGTAATATACACTGTCAACCTCCTTGAAGACATCTCTGTAACTACTTGAATTATCAAGAAGAGAGAGCTTGAGTGTATTAATACTGCTGTGACTTGAGAAGAATTCAAGAACTTTCTACTGAATCAAATCAAAGATCACTGTAATCATGACTTCACAGCAGTGCAGTGATTCAACTCATTATATCAATGAGATAATAAGAATTCTTCTGATTTCAATGTAAGATTTGAAGAATATTGAGAGAAACTGGCTGATGATTTGAATTAATTAAAAACACAGCTTTATCTTATGAAGCTGACTCACAAGGTGTGAATAATGATATTATAGTATCAGAGTTCATCAATTAATCACACTGAGCTTGTCAATCTGACTTCTCAGATCTATTTGAATAATCAATTCTCTGAGAAAAAGACTAATAAGATCTCTTCTAAGCAATCAATAATAAGATCTAAACAGTACTATGACAGCTTCAGTGTAGAGAAAGTAAAGAAGAATTTCAAGTGTTCTAATTCTTCACTCACTGTGAAGAAATGTTAAAAAAGATTTGATAAAGATCTCTATTTCAACTGCAGAGCTGATAATCACTATATCAGTGATTGTAAGAAGCTGAAGAAGAAAAGAAATTAAGAAGATATCTTCTTAAAGTTAACTTCTCTTCTGATAAACATATTCACAGAAGATAAAGAAGAGAAAGACAAGAATTAATAATTCTTACATCTCTGAGTTCATGTTATGATTACAATGCATATCTTAAATGAGAAGATATCAGTGAGATGTCTACTTAACTCTGAGATAAATGTTAACTTCATATTCTATTCCTTTTCTTTGATGAAGAGTTGAAAGAAGATAGATCTGTCAGATCATGTAAAATTTACTGATGAAATGAAATGTCACTGTTTTGACATAATTCAAGTGAAGTGTGTGATCACAGACTTAGAAGAAATCTTCAAGAAGAGCAGTCTGCTCCTTCACACAGTTAACATCATAGATGAGAATGTCATTCTAGATCTCTTATAATTGAGAGAAAACAATTCTCTCATTGACTGAGTCACTCAGATGTGACAGTACTGTCTCACTAATAAAGAGATAATGATAGAGAAATCTGAAGAGTTTCATTGAAAGAATCTTGAGAAAAAGATTGAATCAATATACTATATAGTAGATGATTGAGACTTGAAGACAGATGAAAAAGTTATCACTCTCACTGCAAGATTAGCAGCAGTATCTGTCATTGAAGACAGATGTATACAATGTCTCTTTACAGATTTTAAGAATGTCTTTTCAGAAAGAGAAGTAGTGAAGTTTCCTGATATCAAGATATGATATAAGATTCACCTTGAAGATGATGTAACAGCACTGTACAGATCTCTTTACAACTTGTCTGTAAAGAAGTTGAATGTTCTATGCAAATATCTTGAAGAAGCACAATCAA